TTAGATCAGTAAGGGGAATTAAACGGTTGCGGAATAGGGAGCAGCAGTGGGAGGGAAATAAAACAGTTGCATGTTTGAGTGTTACTGCATTCTCACTGTTCAGTAGATTGGGTAAAGAGGTGTTGCATTTTGTAGATAAGGGCACTGGGTTTGCAGCCAACAGAACTGATGTTGGCTGAAGCTCCTGCCTCAGCAATCCTGTGTCACTCAACCTCTTCCTTTCTCCAGAGCTGCAACTTGATAACTCTGACTTCAGTGCAAGTTAAAGCTCCACTTGGTGAAAATAGGTCTAAAGAAGAAGACTAGGCTTTCAGTTCAACCCCTTGCTTTGAGCTCACTGCTCCTAGGTCAAAATCCGAGAAACACCCCCCTCTTGCCTATGTTACTTAGGCTTCTCCTCAGAATGCCCATCTTGCCTGAGCTTGCCCTCCTGGGAGGCAAAGAGGCTCTAAAGAAGGCAACAGAATCCCTTGCTTCACCTGGAGACGCCGAGCTGACTGCTGTGTGACTCTGGGAAGGCGTAGCTCTCTCTGGGCCTCCAGTCTCACTAAGCAGCCAAACAATTCTTGGTGTCCCTGCCAGGAGGGAAAACTGATTCTAACTGGTCATGTCTCCCCAGTGACACATGTATTGTTTCACAGCGATTTCAGCAGTTGGCAGCCCCCGGAAGTTGTGTCAAAATAGGGAAGTGAGGAGCAGGGCAGGGAGGCCCGGGGCGTAAGAGTAGAGGAGATATTTTGGGGCAGGCAGATCCCCTAGTCACTGCTGGACAATGGTCCATGGCAGTCATTGTGCTGAGAATGGAAACTCTTTTTTCTGACTTCATCTGCAAAGGCTGAAAATAGTCCAGGGTGGTGAGTGGAGGCCCTAGGGACTGGGCTTGGGTCCGAGGAGTGACTGGCCGAGCTGTTCCATTGTTCCTGGCTGGGACAGTGCTGAGAGTGGACACAGGGCGAAGCGGCGGCCAGGACAGAGGCACGCCCAGGAAGTGCTGCTGGAGGGAGAGAGGCAGGGCAGAGCCAAGCCCCCTGTAGAGGGGGAAACTGAAGGCCAAAGAGGGAAAGAGATTCAACAAGTCCCATGGTGCATCGAGGTAGAGAAGGATGAAGCTTTGGCTTCTGGGGCTTGGGGCTTGTGTCTAACCACTCCCACAAGCATCATTGCCTGAGGGAAGGCAAGCTCATCCTCACTCTGCAGCCCAGCCAGGCCCTCCCAGTCAAGCTCCAGCCTCTCCTCCACAGGCAGCAGGGGTGTCAGACATCTGACTGGCTCCACTCCACCATGCCTTAGGGGAGCCACTTTGCCTCTCTGGCCACTTGATGCCTCCACTCTAGTCCTCATAACTGAGAGTTCAGGGTGTCTTGGAGGCTCCTGGGGAGCAATAATTAATTCTTTCTTTGAGGAAGAGCCAGGTAGCTGATGCCTTGACTGAGGTAGGAAGAACTGGAATGTGTGAGGCAAGGTCCTCCGGGTCCAGAAGGTGGCCCAGAGTGGGCAGGCACAAGGCCTCAGGTCACACAGCAAATGCTGTTCATTGACTACTCTGGCCCAGTTCTGGATCAGTCCTCCCACTCTAGGTCTCCAGGCTCCTGGTCAAACCATGGAGTGGCTGGAGCACACCATCGCAGGCACCACCAGACAATGAAAAATGGGTACACTCCGCCGGGGTAGTGGGAGCTCTCTAGTACATAGCAGCTGGTTCCAGAAGCTTGTTACCAAGGTCATCCCCACCTCCTCCTCACACAGCCAGGCACAGTATGAGGTTCTGTAAACACACAGACCCGTGCGTCTAAAATCCACCTAGTGCCAGGCAGGGCAGGCTGGGCCCACATCTGACCTCTGGATGGACTTGCTTTCTCTCCTCCCATACTCTGAGTAAGATTCCACCCCAGGAACCCACTCTTGCTTCTGATTTGGCACAGTGCCTGGCATGATGAATGCCTGGTGCCAGGCACCGTTCTAAGCACTTCACCTGTATTGACTCAGGTAACCCCCTCAGTGCCCTACACAGCGGGTATCTCCTTTCAGAAATGAGAAAGCTGCCCTCCCGGGTGGTGCAGTAGGTTAAAGTACAGCACTATGAAACTATCGGCAGCCACTGCAGCATGAGTTCGACCCCTGGCCAGGGAGGTGACCCACATAACACGTCAGACCTCTCCTGTCCTGCCTGCTGCTCCCCTCAGCAGTGTATTTCAGTCCATCTACCAGTTCTGCTCCCCACTCTGTCTCTGGTGAATCCTCCACCACCACCCCCTCCCTGCACCTCTAGCCTTTCCCCCATTTCTTGTATGCATAAATAAATAAATCTTTTATAAAAAATGAGAAAACCAAAGTGATATAAGGTTAAGTAATTTACCCAAGCTATCACAGCTGGAAGAGGTGAAAACCATATTCAAACCCTGGTGGTCTGGGCATTGAACCTGTGCTCTTGACGTAGGGGTCTCTGGCCTGGGTGGCAGTTGTCCCAGGGTCCATGAGGGAGGTGGAGTCCCAGAGGACATGCCCATTATCACCTTCCAAGGCCCTGGACAGCATCCTGGCCAGATAGTTGTTCCAGTCTGGATCCAGGTCGGGCCACCAAAGCCACCCTTCCACTGCCACCCATGTCATTGTGAAAAGCTGCTCCAGGCAATTCAGTAGGTGCTTACTCTCCCAGCCCTGCCAGCCAGCTCTCATGCCACCCCCTGCCCCATGTGCCTGGCCTCAGCTCTACAATTTTATCTGTTGACTCAGTCTTCCAGGGCAGGGAGAGCTGAGGCTGCAGTGGATGATGAAGGGACTGACCTGCACTAGAGGGAGCAGAGCAGCAGGGACAGACTGAGCCCTGGGATCGCATCCAGGCATCGAATGGACCTGCTGGGTGACCTTGGGCAAGGCTGGCCACTTTCTGGACTTGAGCCTACAGCTGGCTGGATAATCCCTGGGGTCCCTGTCAGGTGGTTTTGCCCTTTCACAGTGACTTTCCAGTGTCAACAGCCCCAGGAAGTGATGTCAGGGCAAGGAGGTGGGGAGGCCAGAGGGAAAGGGAGGCCTGGAGAGTAAGAGGAGATATTTTGAGATCAGACAAGTCCCATACGTCACTGCTGGACAATGGTCTAGGGCTGGGAGTGGAAAATCCTGCTCTTACTTGGGCTGAAAATAGCATAAGCAGCAGGATCATGAACCTTACTCACCAGGAAGGTGGCCTAGGCACTAAGCCTAGGCCAATGTCCTCACTGAGGGGCTGGCCAGACCCATTGGGGCCCAGAAGTGGGACCTGGAGCCTGTGCCTGGCTCCTTTCGGGTCTCCATCCTCCACCCCAACCAGTGCTTGCCTCAGGTTAGGTGGAATGTGCTCCTCCTGTCCCTATATCTATGTCTCTAGAAATCTGCAGGCAGCTGGTTCAAGGAAGGCTTCCTGGTGTAAGGCCACAGTGTGCCAAGGGGCCCAAGACTCTGGGGGTCCCCAGAGCTGTTACTGAAAGGATACGTGGGCAGGACATAAAAGGAATGGGGATTAGGGGAGCTTGGGTTGGAGTGACTGTGGCACAGCCACAGATACATACTCAAGAGCCTCTAAAGTCATGATGTATAAGTAGGTCTAAGCAGGGTCTGGTTGAGGATGCCAGAACTCAGCCTTCACACTCCTGGCAAGCAGAGCCTCTCTCCTAAATAGGGGACACACTATCATTTGGGAGGGTTCAGTCTGAGGCATAGCTGGTAGGAAAGAGATAGACATGGGCCAGCAGAGAATGTTCAAGGACTAAGGTAAGGAGTCACAAAAGAAGCTCAGAAGGACTCAGGTTACATTAATAGGAGTACAGGACATAGTATGTGGGAGATGAATGCTTCACCTACTCTGCTCAGCTCACCCGCTTTGCACAATAGAGTGATCATTCGGTCATGGTTTGTAATGGGTTCCTGTCACCTGAGGGAGCTGTGGAGCTAGACTCTAAGTAGAGCAACCTCTAGAGATACCCCATTTTGATAAGGCAGAGTGTGAAGGCTAAATAAGGCAGAAGAGGCAGGTGGAGGGGAAGTGGGGAAAGAGACTTTTTTCAGGCAGAGGGCACCCAAAGGGCAAGGGTTCCTTCAGAGGGAGCACTGTGAGTCTGTCCTTGAGGTTAAGGTGAGGCCTGTTCACTTCGCCTAGACCTGCCCCAAGGCTGGGGCTGGGCCGATCCATCTGAGGGCCACAGATAAGCTTGGTGTGGTCCTGGTTGGACCCAGAATCTGTCACAGATGAGACCCATCTCTAAGCCTTGATCCAGCTTCTTTTGTGACTCCTTACCTTAGTCCTTGAACATTCTCTGCTGGCCCATGTCTATCTCTTTCCTACCAGTTGGATTTTCCCAGGAGGCAGAGGACTGGCCAGGAAGTCTCTCCCACATTTACCTCCAATGCAAAGAAAATTGCATGTTCAGGACATGCAAGGAGACTGAATGCGACCCCCCCCTCCTTGGGCCCAGCTCAGGCCTCCTTCCTCCTTGAGCCTGGGCACTGGTTCTGCCTGCTTCTAGGTCTGCACATCCCGCCCCCATGTCTTTGCCCAGAACACGTCCTGCACCTGGTGTTCTCTGATGAACTGCTTTTCTCAGAAGCTACAGCTTCTCCCCATGCCAGAAGCCTTCTCTGACCCTGATCCACAACCACTACCATGCAACACTATTCAGGGGTGTGCTTTTGTACCTGTTAGCGAGAGCCAACTGTTAACTTTTGAGGAATTTTGCAAGGAACTTGCCATTACTTCGGTAGTCTGAAACTGGCCACAATTAGGAGTATTTGCATCATGGCATTTGGCAATGCTACAAATAAAGGGTTCCCTTACCCCAGCCTGAAGAATATTAAGTCCTAAAATGGGGAATCCCAAGGACTGGGATCCGGCTGATTTCTCTTGGACCCAGTAGAGGCAGACACAAAAGCAGATTGGCTTTGAAATGGGGCATACCCTGGGATGGAGAGGAGGTTCCCATGTGAGGCCACCAGTGAGGCACAAGTGAGAAGGCAGGAAACAAGCTGAAGAAAGGACTCTTGTGCAGATATTGAAAGCTTCCAGGACATATTCCTATTTTCCGACCACAAAGGGCACAACTCAGGAGACAACAATACCTTTAGTATAACTTACAGCCAGGGGAGGCTTCCAGCCCAGTGAAACTCCCACGGGGGTTATGACGTAAGGCCCCAGATTTTCATCTCTTGGGCTGGGGGTACACCTTGGAGAGTAGCCAACTCCCCAAATTACCTTTTGGCCTAGTGCAGACTCCTTACCAACCAGCATCCTCTGGCTGGTCAACCTTACAATACCCCTCCACCTTCAGGTGTCTCAGGCCCAGAAAGCTGGGTGACCTTGGGAGTCACTTTCCTTTCTGATCCTGTTTCTTGACTTGACTTGGCTGGGCTGGGCTCCAGCCTAGGTACCTTGGCAGGCAAGGCCCGCTATTTACGTGGGAGTCAGGTCAGGGGTAGTACTGGCCCTGAACCTTGCCTTTCTTGAAACCTTATTCCCCAACTCACACATACACATGGTGAGTGGAGCCGGGGGAGCTGTTGAGCTCTGGACCAGAGTGTATCCTCAGTCTCTGCCAAGTGACAGAGCATGGCTCTCCTAACCATCCAGCAGGAATCATCCTTATCCGTAGAGGAGGACAATCCCATTTGAACAAGTGTTGGTTCTTTACAGCCCCCACATGAAAACTTTCACAGTCCAAGGGGTTCGGGCCCTACAGCTGTATGTCCTTAGTGGCTTCACCATCAGCTGGTGTGGAGTTTGTCTGCCTGGAGCCATCGCTGTTGTCTAAAGTTTTGCCAGACCTGCGCAAGCCCAGCCTACGGTGTGCCTGGGTGGTAATGGCAGGGTCTGAGGGTGGCTTGGTGTCCCGGGCAAAGCGCACAAGCCTCTGCCCAGCCAGGAAGTAGAGCACGGGGTCAAGGCAACTGTTGGCACTGGCCAGCGGCCGGGTGATCTTGTAAGCTATGTTGATGGCATTGAGGGTGTGACAGCTGAGGTCCAGGGAGCGGAAGGAGTAGTAGAGGGTGCGGGTGACGTGAAAAGGCAGGAAGCAGAGCGCAAAGACAGCCAGGACCACAGCGATGGTGCGCACCGACTTCCGCTTGGCTCTCGGCAAGCCCCCTGAGGTCCCGTAGGCTGGCTTCAGCAGCCGCCGTGCCATGAGCACGTAACAGACCAGGATGATGGCAAAGGGCGCTGCAAAGAGCAGCCCCAGCATGACAGAGCTGTAGGCCACGAAGTGACCGAAGAGTTCAGGTGCTGAAGTGTCATGGCAGGTAATCCGGCCTCCGCGTGTGCTGGTGGTAACGAAGAACAGCACCGGGGCCTGGCAGGCCAGCACCAGCACCCACACGATGGCTGCCACCCGGCGGGCGTAGTGGGCCCGGCCCCAGCGCAGGGAGCGCAGCGGGCGTAAGACACCCAGGCACCGGTGCACACTGATGCACGTGAGGAAGAGGATGCTGCAGTAAAGGTTGGTGTAGAAGAGAAAGCGCACCATCTTGCACAGCACCGTGCTGAAGGGCCAGTGGTCGCCTTGGGCATAGTAGTAGACCAGCAGTGGCAGGGAGGCCGCGTACAGCGCATCTGACACGGCCAGGTGGAACATGTACGTGGTGGAGGCATTCCAGGTCTTGAGGCGGCACAGGAAGATGAAGAGCGCCACAGCATTCAGGCACAGCCCCAGCACACACACCACGCCGTAGGACACGGGCAGCAGCAGGTATTTGAAGTCCTCGTTGAAGCGGCACTTGTAGCCCAGCTCATCCCCATCCCAGGTGTCATTGATGGTGCCGTTCCAGGGGCCCGGGCCTTTGGCCATCACCCTGTAGGGAAAATGGGAGGTTGGGAGAACAGCCACTGGCGTCATGACCCAGTTTCCTCAGGGAGGCCTGACACTTAGCCTAGGGCCCACAGGTTCCCTGAGCTGAGGCCTCAGCTCTTCGCTAAGGCCTTACAAAGAGCTAAGATGCTCTCTCTATGCCCAGAGAACCCAGAACCCCCAAGCTCTGTGTCCTTGAGAATGCACAGGATCCATGAATAGCAGGATCATTCAATTAGGGTAGGCAAAGTACACCTTGTGGGCAAAAACCAGTCCACCAGTTTCTGTATATAAAACTTTTTGGGAGCACGGCCATATGTACCCGTTTACAAAGAGCTGAAGAGCTGTTGACAAAGATCATATGTCTTGCAAAGTCTAAAATACATCTGGCCTTGTACAAATAAGCACTCTGGCAACTCCACTTTATGACTTCAGGAGCACAGAGTTCTAGATCTGGGACCCTGAACTCTAGTGCCTGTGATTTAGGGGTCACACATATTTCAGAGTTTGGAAAGGGGCCTTGAGGTTGACTGGCCCTTCCCCATACTCTGTGGCCACTGCATGCTGGGCATTCCAATTCTTTCTTTAACTCAGTTTTTTTTTTTTTTTTTTTTTTCCAATTCTCTGGGAAGGTGATGGTCCTATGCCTGGTATTTTTACTTTTTGGGGAATATTTCCAAGTCTCCCTACTCAGTCATTCATTTACTCACTCAACAAATATTTCTTAGTTACCTCTATATTCTGGTACTTTTTATATCTGCAAACAGGAGGTATTGCTCCTGGATGTCAGGCTACCATATGGGACAATGGCCCTCCTGAAGAGTCCAGGAAGTGCGAGTGGAGGTGGTAGTGGAGGCAAAGGGAGACTTCTTTTGCGGGACAAATTTAGCTTCCTCCAGGCCTTCCTGGCTTTTGCCACACACTGTCACTCTCATGATTGTCCTCTGTCTTGTTCCTAGTGGGCATTTAACATGTCCAAGGCACCTCACTACTCAGAGCACCGCGAGACAGGTTGTTTGCCTTCTTCCTCTCTCACCGCTGCCAACGTGATAAATCAGAGCTCTCTCTGCTGGCAAGCAGGGCACAGATATTCCAGTCTGGAGGGCAAAGACGTGTCCAAAAGTGCCAGTGGGCAGGGACTCCTAGTAGGAGTGCTGGATGGGTAGGTTTGTAACAAACACGAAGAATAACATTCAAGCAGTGTGAAGGGGCTGGGAGAGCTGTTATTTTCCAACCCCTACTACTAAGTGTGCTTTCTAAATGTGCATTCCATTCTTCCAACCTGCTTCTGGGAGCCAGATCATGCCTGATCTTCTCATAGCAAGGCTGTGACAAAGATCACGAGTAATTTTGCCAAGGTTACACACAGCTGGAAATGGGCTACAATTGCTGTCGGACCATCTCACAATGGAAGGCTCCGTGAGAGGAAGGTGGTGAGCATCCTGCGTATAGGATGATGGTGCAATTGGTTCTCCAAGAGCTTGAAGGGCCCCAACGCTGTGCGTGGGTGTGTTTGGGAAGCTGGAGTCACAGTGACATGAGTCCTCCACACCCTGAAAACTTGAGGCTGTAGAGGGTCCCGAGAAGCGGGGACTTAGGGACCCTACAGAGAAGATCCTTCAGCTTCCTGCCCAGCCTGGCCTCCCAGCAGCAATTCAAGGCCCGAGGGATTGAGATTAGGGAGGCTGAGGAACACAAATTTCTCTTTTTTCTCCATTAACTCCTCCCTACCCCCTAGCTCTAGGATCTTCCCTGTCTTCTGTTGCAGTGGTATAATCAAAGTGCAGAGCCTGCACTCACCACCTCCCTATGGTGGATCCAGGTTCTTCACCAGGGAGGCAGACCAGAGTGAGAAAACAGGGAGAAGGCTGTGTGATACTAAGGTGAGAGGAAGCAGGGACCGGGGGCTGTCTCAGAGCCAACTGCTGGGACTTCCTTTGCTCCTGGGCCAGGACTCAGGACCCAGCGTTCTGATATCTGATTCCATCCCATCCCAACTGAGAACCACTGCACCACCCCCCACCTAGGCTCCAGCCTCGGTGTTCCCAATCCAGAAGAGTCTTTGTAGTCATTCCCCTGCTTGAAACCCTCTGTGGCTCCTGCCTCTGTCCAGAAGAAAACCAACACATCATTCATCAGACTGTATGTTTTCACATTGCAGCTTCAGCCAAGTAGCTCAGCTCCTCCCCTGTAACTGAGGTTTCCTGAGTGTGCCTGCACCTCCAGACATAGTTATTTGCTCCTTCAACCTGGATTACATTAATCCCTTCACACCCCTCATCTTCACCAGTTGAAATTATAACTCCATCCCTCAGCACAGCAAACACCAATGATTAAGAGCAACTTAACCTCTGGAACCAGGCTGCCTTTATTTCTTCATCTGTAAAGTGAGGCAATTCATAGAACCTACATCATAGGACTGCTGTGAACATCAGGTAATTATGTAAAATACATGGAGCAGTGCTTGGCACACAGGGACACTGCTGTTACGAGCTTCAAGGCTTCACCTCAGATGTGGCCTTATCCAGAAATCTTTAGGAAGCTCTCAGAGCATGGGAAGAAGAGAGGCAGAAGGTCTTGGCTGGGGCTGTGGATCAGGTGGGCATGGGGGGCCAGGGGTTGACACTGATGTCCGTGTTGGGGAGGTCTGAGGGGAGAAATGGAGAGAGCTATTGGGCGGAAGGGGAGGCTGGAGAGACGGGACCCTGATGGAAGGGTGAGGGAGTGGGTGACAGACAGGAGACCCTACTCAGGGGTCAGGGGTTGAGAGCAGATGGAGGCAAAGGGGGAATTCACTGTCCAACATGGTGAGAACAGGGGCTTCCAAAGGGGAGCGGGGCATAGAGCGGAGGCATATGGGAATGGGTGAGACAGTCACTCCATGCTTTGGCACACACACCTCATCCCATCCTCAAACCTCACATACCTCACATTCCTGGTCCTGTGATGAGTCCTGGCAGTCTCCTCACCATTAGGGTCAAATCCTCACCTCTTCAGCGTCAACATCTCATTGCTCTGCACAAATAACTTTCTAGTTTCTGACAGTGGAATCTCTGACACCGATGAGAGGGGTGGAGACTTCCCTAAGTCTCCCATGAATCGACGGAGCTGCCCTTTCCACCTGCTTAAAGACATCCTGGCCTCCGCCCTCCCAGGCCAGCTGGCAACTCCATCACCCTGGCCCCAGTCCAGACTGACCCTGCCCGCCCTCTGCCTCTACAGGCTGGCCCATCAACCTGTGAGCTCATCCTTCCAGCCCCCGAGCCCCGCAGCTCCAGCTCCCAGCCCCTGCCTAATGGAGACAGCAAGTCTCTGGCCCTCTCCCTCAGTTCTGGCCTCTGCCTCTCTGTGCCCCTGGTAAGCTCGAGACTGGCTCCCTCACTTGGCCCACTACTCACCAGCCTTTCTCTGCTCAGTTCTGGCTGCCTTGCCCTGAGGAAGTCCTGGTCTGAAAGGAGATGTGGGCCACGTAAGGCCCTGCTGGCCTCCCCTGACTTACTGCAAGCTGTTCTTTCTGCCTGGAAACTCTTTCTAGAACCCACCCACACTGACTCCATCCTACCCACCCCTCAAGGTGCTTCTCAAATGTTACCTCATCTCTGAAAACTCTCCCCTTGCCCTTTACCCTTGCTCAGGGTATTCCCCATACCCTGTTGGTAATTTGTTTTTCTACCCTCTACCCCAATTCCAGGTATTCTTTAAGGGCTGGGTTAATCTGATTCTTTTCTCCATCTCCATCATCCAGCCAGAGGCCTGATCCAAAGCAGGTACAACATGAAAGACTGAGTGAATGAGTGAGTGAAGCAAGCCCAGGAGTCTATAGGAGCCCAGAGGAGGGTGATTTTTATGACAGTTGCTTCCTTTTTCCCTGTTCTCTGAGGGTCTCGGGACCACAATAACACCTAAAGAGTTCTCAACTGCTAACCCTAGGTGGCCAGGTATCCTGAAGCCTGTTGTTGCCCTCCACAGGCCCCTAGAATATCTTTCTTCAAGTTTGGCCAGGGATAGGCTGAGGAAGCAGAATTGGACCCTACATCCTGGAGATAGGTCATTTTGTGTGAGTCATTCTTTTGCCTTGTCCAACTCTGTCTCAGGCTGTAGCTCAGGAGCCCCTGATCCAGGAGCCCACCACATCCCCATCCCATTCCATTTGTAGGGACCAGACCTGGGCTGAGCAGCTTTCATGCAGCATCTTTATCTCTTCCCCCTCCGTCACCTCTTAGTAGATATTGCCATAGAGGTAAAGCTAATGCTTTAAGATCACCCTGCCAGGGGTTGGAAAAATTGTGCTTGATGCCTACGGCTCTCTGGCTCCATAGCCTGACTTCATCAGAGTTTAGGATGAGGGACCAGGGCAAAAATCCCCTTGCTCCACCCCCAGTTCAGTGCACACACATGCCCGAGCTTCCCAGCCAGGGGGCCGCACCTTCATACACCTGCCCTCCCCGCCAGTGTGCCCCACCCTCACACACCTGCCCGTACCTGATCAGCTCCTGCTCTCACTGTCAGGATGCTCAACGCCTGCTCAGGTTCCTCACTCATGAATGCACACGCCTGGACCCAGCTGCAGGGAACTCTGCGGGAAACAGGAAAAACAGGTCCCCCGGCCTTGAGCCACACCCAGTTTCCACATTTCTCAGGGCAGGCAGTGTCCCTGCTACCAGCGCCTGACTCTGGGAGGTGGGGACAGCACAGGTTTTGGGTCACAGGAAGTCAACCAGGCCAACCCCTTGCAGGGCTGACTTCTCTGCTCCAATCTTGGCCCCATAGAGGCAGTGAGGTGACCTGGTGAGTTTGTCCCTGTAGGAGTGGTGTCTGACCTCCCCTCTCCCCCCCAACCTACATTGAGCCATCCACCCCCAGCTTGCATGCTTTGAGTTGCTCCAGCCTCCTACCCCAGGAACCCCCTTTCCTGCAGAGCTGAGTCAAGTCTCTAGGGTCCCTAGAGCAGAAAACAAGTCCCACAGGAGAAAACAATCAACAAACCTCTTAGCCCACCACATGCACCACAGCACTTCAAGCAACAGTTTGGCTCAAGTTGAGTCTATGTAGAATCTCCTTCCCTCCCCTTCCTTCCCCTCCTACCTCTAATCACTCCATGTGGGTTTATCCATGTAATAAATCCACATGAACACACACAGGCCTTGACACAACTAGATACACAGACACATGGAGACGTACATGGTCATACCAGATGTACATACATTGTGGACCTCCCCCCAATCCTAATAGTCATGGCCAGATGAGCCTTTAAAAATCACCTTGCCAAACTCTCTTTGCTAGCGGAGGAAATGGAAGCCCAAGGCCTTGCTGTAAGTTAGGAATACAGTCAAGTAGAAAACTAGGCCTTCTGGATTTGGCCCTGGGTTTTGTCTGGCCTGGAAGCCCCTCTCACACACTCACCAGGCTCAAGAGAGTCAGTGAGGGGATGGTTACCTGGCAGGGGGACCCTTCTGTCTGGGCTGGTCCAGCATCCATAGCTTCAGACACATCACAGGAGAAAAAGAATATCCTTCTCCTCTTTCCATCTGCTTCATTTCCCTACAATGGGGAGTGGGGTCTGAGACACCTGAGGCCAGGCCCCAAGCTGGAAGTGCAGTCCAAGAATGGGGGAGACTGGGGAGAGAAAATTGGTGGCTGCAGATATAAGGGTGTGGACACTAGGAAATGCCTCCTGGCCTCTTTGTTAACCGGACAGCTGCTCAGGCATTTGAGACTGAGCTGTGACAACGGACTGACATCTATTTGCCAGCCTGCTCTAGCATTTACTGACAGGGTGAAAGAGCTTTACCTTTTCACCCTGCTCCACCCAGGGCCACACCTTTTCTCCTTTTCCTGACAAGATGCTTTCTCTGAACAGACTGAAGTGGAGCACAGCTCTTTCTTAAAGCCACTCTCCCATTATTTTTTTTAAGATTTATTTATTTATGCATTCAGAACTGGGGTACAGGCCAGAGGTGCAGGGGTGGTGAGAGGATTCACCAGCGACAGAGTGGGGAGCAGAATAGGCAAGATTGATGTAGTACATTGCTGAGGGGAGCAGCGGGAGAGACAGGATAGGTCTGCTGTTCTATGTGGGTCACCTGTGGGGCCGGGATCAAACAAGCTGAGGCAGCTGTGGATAGCTTCGTAGTGCTGTGCTTTAACCCACTGCACCACCAGAGAGGGCCCCATTCTCCCATTGCTGTGAAGGACCTCCATTGTCCACCCTTCCAGATTTCAAATCTTGATATACTCCTTAACAACCACTCTTGCTCCTCCTTGTCCCACCCATCTTTCACCTCATTTCCCTGTCTCAAGAACAGCAAAAGCAACCCCACTGCTGTCTTCTAACAGCTACATTATAACAAGGGTTGACTTGACTTTCTCTGGGCAAACTTTCATGAAAGGTGACTTCAAGACCACCTCTGCTCATATACTCATGAGAAGCTCAGGGAGACTAAACTCTCCAGGTCGCAATGCTAGCAAGTATCAGAGCAGTCCTGATCTGCCTAACTTTAGGAACTGTGCCCTAACCATGACCTTTGACCTGATCTGCCTCCTCCCCCCTCCCCCCCCCAAGGCCCAGGAAGCTTCCTGGCCAGTCCCCTTTGAACCCCCTGGCCTGTCTGTCAATCCTCCACCACAGGGAATGCCCTACAGGCAGGGCCCAGGACCTGCTCTTTCCAGGACTTCCCCATTGTGAAGCAACCTTGGTGCTTATTGTACCCATCTCATGGGTAGAAAAATTAAGACCAGACAGGGTAGCCCTAGGTCTCACCCAAGGCCACTAGCGAGTTAAAGGGCAGAGTCAAGTATGTCTAGCATGCAAATCACCTGCTCACCCAACAGTCTCTGTCTCTACCCCACACTGAATCTTTCTAGCTGTGGCCCCAGGCTAGCAAGCCCAAAGTCAGGAGGAGGGGCCAGGGCGGTTCCCAGGGTGGTTGCGGAATTTCCAGGGCAGTTGGACAACATTCCGGCTCCTCTGCCAGGGTGGCTCTGGAATGTACCGCCTCCTTACTCATCACCCACCTGGATGGCCCTGTCCAGCCTGGAAGGGGAGAGGGACCATCACCACTCTCGAAACCCCTGCTGCCTGCCTCTGCCAGGATGGAGTACTGTGGGCTTGGAGAGGGACTTGGAGACCCAGAAGGGGCAAAGGCAGGCTCGGGGCAGGTGGAGAATCCCAGTCCTCCCATTCCCAGTGTGGGGCCTGCACAAAATTTTTGCTGTACAACATGGATCTCAACTTCCTGTTAGTCTCCAGTTTCTGCTTCCTAAGTTTGTTCAGACAGCCAAAGGAGATGATTTAGACTCACTTTATGAAATAATTAAAAGGATACAATTTCAGAAGGTGGTGACAAACAGGAAGCATGGGGATATTCCAGAAGAGGGACAAGAAGCCCACAGCAATTATGAGCCGAGCAGCAGGGTCACAACCAGACTGACCACAGATTAATTTTCCCACACTGAAAGCCATCCTGAGAAGAGAGGGCAGTCCAAGGACCCCCAGCAGGAGCGAGACTCCATCACAATCCTTCATGCTCTTTCCTCTTACAGAGATTGCCTCATCTATACCTGTGCCTCTGAGAAGGGTCAGACACTTCCACTACAACATGAAACTTAACACTGTGGTGAGAGGCAGGGGGGAGCTGGGAGAGATCTGGGACCTTGAGGAGCTCCAGAAACAGGCAATGACAAGTCAGGGTGATCCAGGCTGGGGGGGACACCAGAGCTGAAGGAGACTAGAGAGTCCCCATGGAAGGGGGGATGTGATAAGGGAAGCCTCCTAAGGAGAGGACACCTGACCTGCATTTATAATATGGACAGCACTAGGTGGGTGGAGAGAGAAGGTGAGCAGTGAGTGAAAATTAGAGTACAAGATCACATAGTATGTTGGGAAATGATTAGCCTTATGGAGGAGGGTGGAGAGAGCAAAACCCAGTTGGAGGACAGGAAAGATCTTGGAAGTCATCCTCTGCCCCTTCCAAATGTCCTCCAGGGAACTGCAGGCCAGTAGGCCCCTAGTTCTTTGTGTGCCTAGTGTGCACCACAGCACTGAGGCTGGTCTGGGAAAATAGTTGAGGGGGTAACCTCAGATGTTATCAGTAGGAGCTGCTGCTGTTTTAGTGTGAAGCCTTTGCAGGCTCCACCACAGGCCCTGGAATTCTGTAACCCCTTCTGGAGATCCCCACCCTCTTTGAAGTTCCCAGGACCATAGTTGTTGGGGCCACCTGCCAGGTCAAGCTCAGAGCATTTGCGTGTTTGGGACTCAGGTCAGCCAGGCTGGTCCTACCCCCAGGGCAGGACGCTCAACCACTTTTTCCATGCCTGAACAGCACAGTTCTGTACAGCCCAGCACAGGCCTATAGAGACTACCGAAAGGAACTAAGAATCACCATGCCGGGCTCTACTCAACACACAGGGGGGCCTATAGCCAGACTCAAGAGGCAAGAGCCCTCAGTTCAGGGGCCTGGCCCACCCATGCTGCACACTCTTGCTTAAGTCAACTCCCTGTTCAGCGCCTCAGGTTCTTCATTGGTTAAATGGGGAGAATCACCTGTGACTCAGGTCATGAAGAAGGAGTCAGACAAAGGCTGGGTGGGTGCTCCAGGGATCTAGCAAATCAGGCATTGTCCTGAAATCATGGCAGAGAACACCATATTTGTTTCAGCAGGGTCCTTCTATGTGACTAGCAGAGGAGCAGGGGTCATGGTCAGAGCTGTCAGGGCAGGCACCTGGAAGGATCTGTGGTCAGGTCTGAGGAGAAATGGGAAGGGTCTCACTTAAGAGGAAAGAGGAAGAATGAAGACCAGAAGGTAGAAAAGGGACCAAGCTTACATCAGGATAGGAGTCTGATTCCAAGTGTCTCACTGTAGGTCCTTCTGGGATTCTTACAGTGTCTCTGGTTCTGGGAGTGGGTGTTCAATGCTTTTTCAGCTCTGTTACTCCTTGCTTCTGATTTGCTTCTGTTTCTCAGAATCAAAGGAGTCTGGACTCTCAGAGTAGCACATTCATAAACAATTCCTCCAGGAGCCACAAAGCCTCAGTGGAACTTGCCAAGAACCCCCATGTGGCCAAATTACAAATTCAACTCAGATCAGACCCTTCTGAGAAGGGAGGGCAGTCCAAAGACCCCCCAGAAGGAACTCCACTAGGAATGGGGAGAGAGGGAGACAGGGACCAAGTTCACTTGGTGATTAAGATGCTGACCTAGGGAAGCCTCGAGACCATGCAGCCCAGAGTAACCCCTGGAGGAGGTGGTCAGAGGGATCTTCAAGCTCAAATGACCCCTAGTCTAGATCACTGAGAATTTTGTCAAGTGAACAAAAAGATAGGAGGGCACTGAACACTGGCTGAGGAGCAGATGCAAAGACTCAGAAGTGTGATACTGTGACCACCCAGGGGAAGCAAGAGTTCATATGAGGCTGGCATGGAAGGTCAGGGAGCACAGAGCTAGGGCAGAGGGAAGCATTAGGGACTCACATGAAAAGCCTTCAATGCCAGCCTTTTACCCTGAGAACAATGAGGACCCACAGCAGGGCTTATGCAAGAAAGGACATGGTCACAGTTGACCTTTGCAAAGATGGTGCCCCATGGAAAGCAGATACGGTGGGGTAATATGCAGGGAGGCACACCAAGGGGACAGTGGAAACAATTGTGGAGTAAGATGGCTGTCACACTTGGCCCCAGATTTCCTGTGGGATAGGGAGCATCCTTACTGATCCATAGCCCAACCATTGCAAGAATTCTCCTCCCACAAGCTGGAGTGAGGAAGCCGGACACTCATTAGAAAACCGAAGTAATACATGTCATGTAGGCTCCGAGAAATCTTAGTGAGAGTCTCTCCTTCCCTGCTCCAATGCCAATGCCAATGTTATTGTCACTGTAATGACAGTAACAGGATACCAGTGTAGAGGGCCATGGAGAAAACAGCTGCCCAGAAGGACCCAATCTGCCCACCCTCCCAGCAAGGATTTCAATTACTCACCCTGGACCAGAATGGACTCAGGTAAATAGAGAAACTTCTCTGCTCAAGAACCAGTTGCAGCTCTCCATGGAGCAAGGTCCTCCTCTTCCACTATAGGCTTACTTTCACCTCATCATTCCTTTCCCAAACACTTACTGGCACCTGCTTGTGTCCAACCTATAGTGAGTGATGTGGACAGAGAAAGGAAGCTGGCTTAGTCCTGCATCTGACCTCTAGGGTGGCCCTAAAGTGAAAGGATTTTCACCCTCCTCTTCTCCACCCTTGAATTTTCCTGGGGTCTCGTCAGAGGGACTGGAGTAGCACAATGGGTGAACCCATGAGGCTAAGGCCCCTCCATTCCTGTTCTCCGGCCCAGGATGCCCTCTAGAATGGGTATAGAAATCAGCGAGTTCTCCATAGCCAGCCTCCCCACACGGAGCTTCATTTGTGGGGAAAGGCCAGGTCTGAAGATATAAAGGCAGCCCCAAAGGAAGCTGTGGGTCTAAGGGTGCACCAGCTGGAGTTATAAAAGGCAGTTTGGGGAGAAGATTCTACCACTTCCACTTCCACTTCCTCTTCCTCTCACCAGATCAGCAAGGCTGCCTGACCCTGTGAATATTACAATATCAGCTGCTGATACTGTTGCTGATCACAAGCAAGACCTCAAAACAGCTTCTCAGGAGAGAATTCAAACTTCCTTTGACCCGTACTTTGGAGCACGGGGTTTACCTGGATGGGGTTTCTATTTTGAATAGGGAAAGATGTTGTGGGACAAGTAGTCAGGAGCCCTCTCTTTGTGAACTTGGCTGAGTTTCTATTTTCTCATCTGCAAAGGGATATATGAATTCCTCCCTTGCAGGATTGATGATGATAAAATGAAGGACATTTATAAATTGTTACTCATAAACTGTCTCTGCACAGGGGCCACAGGGAGAGGAAGACAATCAACAATTAACATTATAGAATGACCAACATGATCCCTTGCACCTGTGTTCTATTATTACCTTCAAAATGCATTTAAGTCTATGAGTATCACACTCCACAGTACATCGCACATTACAACTTACATAGTCTTTTCCTGTCCACTGTCCTAAGAATCCTCAAGGTGACCTTGCATTTGAAGAGGTAAGGATCATGCCCAACTTATAGGTGGCAAAACTGACCTGGAGGAGCACAGTGGCCTCTCTAAGGGCAACACCAGGAAAAAGGCAAAGTGAAAGCACTCAGTGGGTCACCCTTGAATGGTGGCCCCTAGGGGAACCAGCAGCCTCAGATCCCTGTGCATCTTGGACAGAACTGGAATGGAGGGGCCATAGCCTCACTCTGCAGCCTGAGCTTGGCAACCATAGATGAAGGTCACCTACTGTGTTCCTCCAACTCCTCTGGCCAGACCCCAGGACAAGTCAAAGGTTGGAGAAGAGGATAACAGTACTTTTATGCCAGGGCCTCCCCAGACACCACCCATACTCTTCACGTAGGACTTAATAGTCCTGGTCTCCTTTCAAAGGTGGGAAAGGTGGGAACTGCCCCAAGACCACACACAAAATTGAGGGCAGAGCTGAGCTGAGATGGATCACAGGTCTCTTGGCTCTTAGTGGGGAAGGGAGAGTCCTAATGTCCCCCAATTACTCAGCAGGAGCATCTGAGGACTTCAGGAAGTGTTTGGCCAAGGAGGCAAGGACTGAATTTAAACAAAGCCTAGATGTTTCTGTCATCAATGTCATAAATGCCCTGACCTCTGTGCCATCAGCCCTTCTCAGGCCAGTCTCCACCCTGAAGCCAGAGAGAGCTTCCTAAAATGCCTGCACTGATCACGCATTGCCTGTGTTCACACACCCTTCATGTCTCCCTCCTAGTATCAAGTTCAAGTTTTCAGCCTGCACATTCTGCATCCTGTAGTACCTAGGACACACTATTCTGATGACCATTTTGGTGACTGGAATCTGGTGTCCCCTTCTTTATAGTGTCATGAAGCTCCCCTGTAGACAGGACTTCATGGGGAAAGCTGGGGACAGAGGTCTGGGGATAGGGACAGTTCCTGTCCTCCAGGGACCCCTAGACCTTAGTTGAGAGAAGGAAGAGACAGAGACCAGTTCAGGGTGGGGCCAGGGGTATCAGCACATGGACTGCAAGAACACAGAAGAGTTTCCCACCCAGTTAAGGGATCGAGAAAGGTTTCTCAGGAGCATCTGAGTTAGCTCCCAAAGCTGAGTAGTTCTCCAATTGAGAACGATGAGAGTAACATTTCAAGCAATGAACATAGAATATGCAAAGTCCAGAGGTAAAGGGCCTTGGGACTGCAGCAGACTACAGTTGGTTACTAGAGGGGAGGAAAGGTTTCAGGAGAGGTTGGCAGGGACCAGAGGCCTGGAGCTGGAGGCTAAGGGGTGGAAATCCTGTGAAAGTTTAGCCCAGGGAAGAGAATCTCTGGGAACTGGGTTTTAGCAAGTTCTCTCTAGAGACTGACTCCACACCCCATCCCCAAGTTGTGAGCCTTCCCAGGGGAACACTGGTGCTAAATACATGACCAAAGCATCAGCCCCCTCAACAGCCCTCAGGTTTTGTATCATTCGTATTTCTTAACCGATGAGGCCACTCAGGCACAACGAAAGCCTTGCCCACAATCACGCAGTGGACAAAGCAGGGGTGGAATATAGGTCTCTGAATCTCCAGAGGGGGCTTTGTCTGCTCAAAGAATCTTCGTCCTCACTGTTCCTATGCACTGATAAGTGAGACTTTATTGGGCCCTATTCTGGCTCTCAACCCCCCCACCCCCATTATTCCAGCCTAAATTCAAAATGTGGTACCTCAGGCTGCCAGTCCAGAAAAGCTAGGGATGCCAGTTAGGGATGACAGGAGTAGCTGCCACCACCCTAGGGACTCAAAGTGGCTGTCCAGTCAGCAGGATCTTGTCCTAGTCCTTAGGTCTGGCTCCTGGAGGACCCCAAACCTGCCCAGCAGCCTAGCCTGAGAGAAGCACAAGACCAGAACCTCCAGCCAAATTAAAAGTCCTTGTCAGAGGCTTAACAGTCCTTCTAGTTCACCATCCCAGTCCTCTCTGGCCCTCTTCTCCCTAGCCCCTCTCCCCACCCCCCACTTACAGAGCCCAGGCTGGAAGGTTCACCCAGAGTACTCCTCAGAAAAGGGATACCGTGAGCTCTGGGCTCATCCGCGAACCCCACCTTGCATACACAAACAAATCCCACGGGTCCAGTCATTCAGCCTTCAGGGGAGCATAAACTTACCCGTTGGCACACGCTTTCCCGAATCCACAAACACAGTCACCGGAGTATCCAGCCACACTGACGGAGACCAAAGCTGCAGTGGAGACAATATTCAGGTTCCACCACCCACCTACCCGCAGGCTCGAGCCGCACCGCACAGCCCGACCGGACCCAGTCACCGCCCGGGCCGCACAGAACCGCGGCGTCCCGGCCGCGAGCCCTTCCGGGGGCCTGTCCCTCACCTCCACCAGCGCTCCTCCGCTGTCGCTGTCGCTGTCCTGGCCGGCGCCCGCGTCCGCGTCCCGCCGCCACCGCGGGGACCCACGTGCCCGAAGTCCCGCCCGCCCCGCCTAGGTCCCCACCCCGGCTGGGGCAGGCCAGCAGCAGGGCGGACTCTGGACAGACCCTGGCACGCCACTCACCCGCGCCCAGACTGACGCCCCGCCAGCCACCCACTCTCGGGCGCCACAGGGCATGAGTCTCGGGTTCAGCGCTGCTGTTGTGCCGGGAGTGGTAGGTGGAGACTTTCTGTAGCCTGGTTGGGTGCCGGCTGCCCGCCTCCCTCACACGGGATGAGGGGAGGTTTTCACGTTTTGCAAAGTTTGCCTGGTGTCTGGGTGGCTCCTGTCGAGGACCTTTCCGGGAACCTGCACCCCCTTTCCAGGAAACTGTGCAGAGCACCTTGATGAGAATGCCCGCTTGAAACTGGATTGGGGCAGGATTCGTGCTGGGGAGAGAGCCTGCGTCGGCTGCTCTTTTTGGTCCCTCACCTTGACCTGCTGCCCAGGAGCTGCCCTCTCAGACTTCTCCAGCCAAGTATATCACTCCTTTCTCTGCCCTCAACCCCACTCTGATGGCCTTCTGTGTTCAGGGACCCCAGTTCTGTTCCTTTCCATTCTATGAGGACCAGGAACTTCCTGCTGAAGTTCCTGCGGTACCAAGAGCTACAATTCTGGAGGTACCAGGAGGTACCAGCATTTACTAAATGTGTGAATGGACAGAAAAATGAATGTCCCCCTCTCTCATTCTGTTCCTGAAGTCAGGAGTATGTTCTGGACCAGCTTCAGCACTGACTCAGGGAGAACTTGACCCAGTTGCAGTCCCTCTTGGGGCCTCTTTTTCTGGGAAATGCAGCAATCACACTTACCCTCCCACAAGCCAGTGTCCATCCACGCAGGGTTTTGGACAGTCTGCATCTGTGCAAATGCAGAGAAGGCCTCTTTCTGTCTGTGTCCAAGAAACTTGCCCATGGCTCTGGAAACAGGTCCTCCTGGGCTTCCTATCAGCTGGCTGGGGCCTGGCTGAGGCCCAAGAGGGGCCCAGGAATAGTGCTGGCCACAGCCTTGTCAAGAGCAGGAACAGAAGGGACACAACATTTTATGACCAGTTGTCTCTACGGTCCCCCAGGGATTTCCACTCATGAGATACAAAGGCCTCTTGTCCAGACTCCTCCACCTATTGTCCATGTAGTTTCTAAAGGGCTAGTTTCTAAAGGGACCCTTGTGGCCTCTGTTTAAGGAATCTAGGCCTTGGGATACCAGTGAGGGGAAGTCCCCATGATCCTGGAAGCCCCAGCTAACTTCCCCCCTCTCTTCTTCCCTCCAACTCTTCAGCCATCTACTATAACTACTGTTATAGTAGTAAAATTCCTTTGCTGTCAAGATGTGGACCCAAGGCCCTGCTTTCCACTTCCATTTAATGGCTTCAATCCACCTCCCTCACTTTACAGTGAGGTACTAAAGCAAGTGCATCTCTGAGCCACACAGTGTCTGAGCTACCACAAGAGGTGACTTGGTGGTATGCTTGAGCGTCAGAGAAAAAGGACTTGTCCTTGAATTCCACTGCAGACTTTGATAGTAATTTTCTTAGACCATGGGTTCAGTTTTTATTCTTGCTTCACTTCTTCTTTCATCCTCAGTTTCCTTCTCTGCAAAATGGTAATAATTATCCCTTTCCCACTGGTTTGATATTCTTTTTTCAGGGTTTGCCCTCTGTCCCAACTGACATCGTCACAGGATTAATGTCACCTTTAATGAGGGGCTAGAAGTCTAGGTCTCCTGAAAACTTCTGATACTTTGTGTGTGTGTATTTGCAGAAGAACTTGGTTTGGGGTTTGGGGGAGAGGGTGAGAGGATTCATCAGAGACAGAGTGGGGAGCAGGCTGGCAGACTAACAGAAATATACTGCTGAGGGGAGTAGTGGGCAAGACAGGAGAGGTCTGCTGCACCATGTGGTCAGCTCCATGGCCAGGGAGCAAACTCAGGCCATAGTGGCCTAACCCCTAGACCACGAAGGAGGCCCCTTTCCTGACACTCTTATCATTGGGGTCTGGAGATCAAGTCAATTGGTTTCAAAGCCCCCAGCTGAGTCCCTCCTATTGCCTGACGAACCCCACTTCATTTCAACCAGAGCTCCTTTGCTTTTACCTTTGCGTTTATTTCCATTTCCTGGTAAGAAGTTGTTATAAAAAACATAGATTGGCCCTCCCTGGTGGTGCGGTGGGTTAAAGCACAGCACTGAGAATCTAAAGCCGCTTTCGCATGAGTT